CTGCCGCGGGCCGGGCCGCCCGCTCGGTTTTGTCTGTTTTTAAGGAGGACTGGGATGGGCACGCAGCCCCGCGGCGGGAAAAAACATTCCAAGTCGAGACGCCTTTGCTTTCCAATCAGTTTAACAGCTTTGAAGCTGAAAACACCCTGTACAATAAAGGACTTCCGATTTTTTTTTTTTTAAAGGAAAATGGAAGTGTGCCTGCTTGCAATACAAAAACTGGAACATTAACTATTCCCAAAAATGTACAGCTCAGTTGAAAAGCACTCATCATTTTCTTCACCAAAGAGCAACATATACCCACAGCTTCATAAAAGGAGGGACTCCCAAATTAAGCCTGGGAATTTGGAATCGGGATTTATCTGATCAAGAGGACTACAGCACGCACCAGCAGGTGTGAAAACACCCAGTACACATCCGCCTCGCTTTTTTGTGCTCCTACAAGTCACTTCCTTGCAGCCATTTATTTGTGTTTTCCTTTAGATCTTTAAAAATAACAAAAAAAACCCACAATGCAGTGCCTGTCAAAATAGCAGAACCGGTTCACCTCAGAAGCACTAGGCCTTGGAAAATTGCTCCATCAGAAATTTCCCTGGGTACTTCTGATGTCCATGGCAAAAGACGTAGAGTGGTTGAACTTGCTCCTTTGATACCTCTGTGGGTTATATTCCTCCTATTCATCCCATTTGGCAAAAAATATTCCAGGGATCATCAGTTGTTAAGCAGTGCTTTGAGTTGCACATACTTTGGTCTTTACTCTGTTGAGTCAGTAGCCAACATAAATGAGAAAAAGCTGTTCTCTTCCCCGCTCTGCTCTGCTCAAGGGCCAGAAGAAACCAAGACAATGGCGGGGAGCAGAAAACTGGGCAGTGGTGGTAGAGGGAACAAAAATTAAATGGATGGTCTGCATACCAATGGGTTAATGTAAATATGAAAAATATTAAAATGCGTTGGATCCAGTCAAGAATGCTAGCTTCTATTCATTCGTTCTTCTTCTGAAGTTTGTAAAAGTAGTAGTTTCTTTTTCTGATATTCTTCATTCTCCTGCTCTGCTTCCTCATCTATGGATTTTCTTATACGTGCTTTTAGTTCCTCAATTCCTTCCCCAGTATATGTAGATATAGGAATTATATCTTTGAATTCAAGCATATTTGCAGGAATCATTTCTTCCTGTAGCAAGTGTAAGAAGTCTGAAAAATCATATTGAAAGAGTTAGTACAACCCTCAAACAGTGTACCACTACAAAGTCCATAAAATCCAATTAAATATAGAAAATAAACTTTAATAAATTACAGTAATAAACATAACTGCAATTAATACAGAAGTAGTATTTGCTTAATTTATCTTTAAGAAAATAGCTGAAGCCTCAGAAGACAAGCACTAACATAGCAGTTATACCATACTTGCACCCTCCTGAGAAGATTCTATACCCTTCCTTTAAGATAAGCACAACGAGATCCCAAGTTGTACAACATGAGCGATGGACGGTTTTAAGCCTTCCTGCTTCTTACACACTCCAGGAAACAGGAAAAACTTCACCCCAATGTAACAGCAAAACTACAGTCAGCCCCTACATAGACCTGTCCAGAATTTTCATGTGTTTTGGCCAAAGTCACATGATATATTGTATGTACATCGGTGTCTGTAAGGGCACCTTCAACGGAGCTTACTGTTACCCGAGATACCTAGACTGGAAATTTGCTCTCCCATATCATAATTGGGAAGTATCTTCTAGGACATCTCTATTTTATTAAAATACCTCCCCAGCAGTGAAGCCAGCACTACAAATGCATATAAACAGATCTCTAAATGCAGGAAGTGGTTTTAAAACGTATGTTCAAATAATAAATTTAATAGCTGACTTCACTTCAGTTTCAAACAACTCCTTGCCAATACAGAATTACCCCTGATGAAATCTCATTACTACTTCTGTTGAAGGTAATTGTTGAAAGTTAATTTACCTTGAGGATTCTGTAGTTGTTTCGTAAGTTCATTTAAGTTATCCTTTGCACAAGGCAAATCCATTTTATTAATGGCAAGAAGTGCAGGCTTTGTTAGAAGTTCCTCTTTGTACAGCTCCAGTTCCTTAAAAGACAAGAAAATTTGCCTTAATAACTGTTTGTAGTTTAACAAGTGCTACTTCAGTTTTACATCTCCTCTTTCATTTGTCTAATTGCCTAAATAGTCTTTCATGCCTAGGCAGCTGTGAGATCGACCTGGATGCTCAAGGTTGATGTATTAAAGCAGTCTGACAGAAGAAAATAATTTTCAGTGATCCAGTGATTTTTTTTTCCTCAAACACAGGTATTTCAGGTAAACAGGCTGGCCCGTTCTGAAACAGCCTCCTATAAAAAGAATGACAGTTTTGTGTTTGTTTTTCTGATATCCACAAACACAAAATCAATTTCAAAAAAAGTTCAGAACTATAAAATGTATAAGAAAATTCTTTGGGGAGTTTTCTGATTCTTAAGCATTTTAATGGACTATGGTTAATACAAAAAATAAAATCACAACCATGAATAAGCTAAAAATAAACAGCAAGAGCTGAAATTCAGAAGATTCATCATCTTAAGTCGTATAGCTAGAGAGAGAACAGCTGCTAAACTTGAAATTACATAAAATGTATTATTTTAGTCAGAGCAATGGTAAGAGATGGAAACACCGAATGTCTGCAAAGCTGGGGCCTGATGTCTCATCTCCATGAGGCTATGCAGCAAGGGCACTGAGGCAGGGATTTAACTATACCCAGGTGTTTCTACTTCCTAAAATGCTACCAGACTGAGGAATCAAAAACGATGTATCTGTTCACCTTTACTTGACTGTAAGAAATATCCCATATGCTGCACAGATTAATGAAGGAACAGTCGTGCCCAACATAAAATAGAGCAGTTTCACCTGTACAGTTAAAGATTTCATCATTTTGGAGAATCCTAAGCTTGTTAACTGGCCTTACATTATAAATTCAGAAGACACACTAACATTTGAAAGTTCTTGATCAAAACTGAGCCTTTTTCTTGGCTCAACACCTAACTACAACTGTCAATTAGGAAGATGAGAACTTACCTTTGTTAGAAGCAGTATAGTTTCAAAGGCTGTTCTGAAGTGAGTCTTAATAGACAGTTGAAACCCAGAAATATCAACCTGAAAAAGTTACACAAAAACAAGCTTTGTGGATTTAAAGTATGTTACACTATCAAGGTACTTTCCATCAACTACTTTGCAGTCAAATGTCCACGTACATGCCCTCATTCCTGGGCAAATAACAGAGGGCAACTATACACCAAAGTAACACCATAGACACTGGAAGCACAAACTGGTTGGTTCTGATACAGTGTTTCTTAAAGGTCTGATTTTTAAACCTCTTTTTTAAGGGGATCTTAGAGAAAAAAGAAAGAAAAAATCACCCCATGCTTTAATTATGCTTGGAACTCTTCACTGCTCTAAATCAATTAGGAAATATTAATGATAAATTCTATTTAAGGATTTAATTTACCATCAGTCGTTTGAGCGTTCCATTCTGAAAAGTGTTACAGCTATATTTATCATAAAACATGCAAATTACAAACAATTTCCTAAATTCAAACTACACTGCAATTAAGATGCATTTTATTTACTGCACTGCCTTTGATTTCAATAAGCTGTAAATTTTATTTAACTTACAACTAAGAGAAGCTGTTTGGTTCTTTCTACATGTTTGAGAAATTTGTGGCCCATCCCTTTGTTTGCATGTGCACCTTCAATCAGTCCTGGGAGATCAGCTACTGAAATCTAGGAAAACAAAAGTTTCAAACAAAAGATTTCCAACACAAAAAAATGATGATTTTAAACTATCAACACCTATTATCATTTTATATAAAGAAAAGAACCCAGACAAAGGAATGTCAGAAATATCTCTTGAGAGACTCCTTTTACAACTGTGTGTATTCCTTGGAATCGTGCAGGGGATCAGTTCTCTGGCAGTATGCATTGGCTGTTTCAATACATTTAGAATCTATCACCAGAAGCAGATTTAAACAAAATGCTACTATTACACAGACATTGTGCTCCTCATGTTCCCCCATCTATTTATTTATAGCTATCTGCAAAGTAGAAAACAGAGGGTAATAATACCTCTGCAGAGATCTTGCAAAAATTACCTATTACCTGAGAATAAAAGAGACTCTGAAATGCAAGAAGATTAGGCTGTCACAGTTGTATAGAATTCAAACTGTCACTGGAAAAGAAAATAAAGTCTGTTCCTTGTGGCTACAGAGGATCATTATTCCAAATGCAAACCCACTTAACATTGTTCCCCTGAGCATGAGAAGCTCCAAGAATTTGTCTTCTGCTCTTCAACTGAAGAGGGATTTTGATTAGTATGTCAGCTTCCAACAAGAACCCAGCAACGACTGCCGCAATGGAGAGGGATCTTCTCATTTTCTCTGCTGGTTGAGAGGGTTGTACACAGTTGTGAAGGAGAGCTGAGACAGACCGAAAAAGAGCAGAATACTAAAACTCCCAAATTTCTACTCATTAACTCACAGAAAGCTAAGACAGTGAAGCAAAGATGACCAAAATCTATCTAATACCCATCTAGACAGCAACTGGATTCAATTAAGCAATGCCCAAAGCCAGCACGCAATAAAATTTCCAGTGTGCTCCCTATTGCAGAAGAGGGCCTTCTGCTACGAGTGAGTTACAATCCCACTCATGTGTCACACTAACTTCTAACTATTATGCATTTCCTAAATATTTGAAGCCTTGCTTCAGAATTTTCCATCTAGAGAGACATGAGGTACAGCTGGATGAACCACAGACTTGTACCTAGAAACAGGGAGAGATTAACTAGAGATTTAGAATAGAAACATCCACGTCCTGGTGTGATGTATTTGGGTGCTGTAGTACCATCATCAGCACCTTTTTTGCCAACTTCAGTTCTCTTTCAAAGAATATTTTTCACGGAGCTCAAAGAAACTCATAGTCTCTCAAAACAGCACTTGGTTCAGATATTCTGGTAGAAAATGTGAATGCTTCTGGTAGTTTCCATGATCTGGTACTAAGACCTAAACCCAGACTCATACTCAGATCTTCTGCTTTTGTGTCTTTTCTTTTCCAAGTAGTAAAGACAAATGGCACCAAGTAACTTGCATGTATTTTCTTTATTATAATGTACTGAGATAAAATAAGCAAATTGCTATGTATTTCCTTAAAAACGTCAATGTTCTGTAGGAAAAAAAAAAAGATATAATGAGCCAGTCTCCCTTGAGTGGTACAGGACAGTCACCTCAATTATTGCTCTTAATTGCTTATGTATTGTTTTCAGCAGTTGCAACACTGAAAGCTGAAGTACTTCCTCTTACACGTGCTCCCTGGGATCACAATGACTAGCTCCTTTGATTTTAGAAAAGAGATTGTTTTGTCCATCTAGTTCCTATATAGCACCCAACACTGTAGTATAAAAACCACGAACTGCAGAAACAGCCAACAACAAGGGTCATTGGCTATGACATGAAACAGACTGCAGAAAAGAAAGCCAGGAGTGCAAGTAGTTCTCCTGCTGGAGAAAGATACACCAGTAAGAGCAAGAGGTCCTGATTCATGGAAGGTAGTCAGTTTTTTTTAAAAAAGGCTATAAACAATCCTGTTATTTGCAGCAGAACTTTCTAGGGTAAGTTACCCTAAACTAGCAGATAAAATGAATATACAAAAAAATTTCCCTTAGATGTGTGAATCTCTACAGGGTACCTGACAAACTAGACTTACTTCCTTTAATGCACAGTTTTGTTAAAGGTTGTTAAATGAAGGTTTCAAGCATCAGCTACTGAATCCCCCTAAGATTATTGCTTCTGAAAGTGAAAAGAGGAGTTTTCTGTCTTTTCACATCTGAGAAGTATGCTCTTCTGGTTAACTCATCTGAAACCCTTTTATGGATTTGCCTTTTATCTTGGAAGTGATGAGTCCAGCACTGCATGTATCATACACTTCAAAAACAAAATAAAAGCATATCAAAGAAGATTCAAGCTTGAGGAATCAAAATGGTTTTGGGGGTCCAAAAATCTATTAGTAAGAGTCTCATTTAGCATTGGTTTCCCCCCCAGTGGATACTGTAGAAAGGATTCCAGGCACGACACAATTATCTGACAACTTTACCTGAAGAAGTTGGGTGGAACTGGGTTCACAAAAATTAAGGTGGTAAGGCAGTAGTTCCACCAGTCCTCCACAGCTACCGCCTACCAGAAAAGAGTACCTGGGTGCAGTTCCTTAGGTAGTGCACGATCCTGGCTGTTCAGGCAATCACTATCACTTCATACTATTTTAGTTTTTTATCAAAAACAAAACCAAAACAAAACACAAAAACCAAACCACAAAAGGAAGTTAGAGCAGCCAACCTAGAAAGCCAGAACAGTAAATTATGGTAACTGGGTTATATTCACTGAATTCCCTGTCATTCACTGCTGCCCATCTGCAGCTATTGGACAAATCTGCCACTGTTTAAAATCCATTCTGAAAATGACTCATGCATTCCAGAGCTCTCTGTATAGCCAACTTGCAGAAAATTTGCCTCTTCTAAATAAAAATAACAGCTTAGTCTCTGAAACAATGATTTTTTTAAAGTCCTAAACTTAACAAGAGTATACTAGGACACAGCAATCTCAATAAGATTATAAAGCAGCATTAGAACACAGAAAGGAGACAAGGGAAAATGAGAAGCCATTTATTAAAGTGACTTGAAAACAGCTCAATGTCATATTACTGCATTTGGCTATAAAACACTCTTCTTATTACTTCATAAAAATAGTACTTTCTCCACAACTCTCATTAAGTCCACGTAATTGCATTTTATATGTATACATTATAGACACATATATGAAAAAATCTACAAGTTTCCTTTTTCTTTCTGAAATTATGTTAAGCAACATAACTAATCATTATATACAACTTAAACAACCAGAATGAACTTTCGTACCAACCTGCTTATAATCTGCATACATGATCTTTCCTAGTTCAGGCTGTATTGTTGTAACTATGACAAGGGAAAAAGAGAGGAGGGGAAGAAAACAAAAATGTTTTTAACATTTTAAAAAACATTACTGTTAGAAAACATTTAAATGTTGCAGAACTTTCTCACTTCCTATTTAAATGAAACAAATGTTCCGTAGCAGAAAAAAATAAGGCAAATGGGATGTCAAGAATTACTGCAAAAGAAATATAGAAAAAGAAAAACAAGAGAGAACAAAATTAGACCACTCAAAAAAACAGGGGTTTGCCAAATCTTGGCACTGTCTGCAGTTCTGTTCCCATCATCCCAAAAAGGGAATAGAGGAGCTAGAGAAGTCTCAGACACAAAAATTATTATCCAGACTATAGAATAGCTTCTAAACAGGGAAAAATAACTGAAGGTAAAGTGAGATAGTACTCTTCAAACTGAGGAAAAATATAAAAGGCCTGCAGAGAATCAGGAGTGGCACAAGAAGGTTGGTAGGAATTATCAGTACTTGTACTCTTGCTTTTCAATTAAAGAATGATCAGACAACTAATCCTAATTTACTGATAGAAAATTAATAAAAATTTTCTGTCCATTTTTCAGTGGACAGATTCAAAACCAATATCTGACTCCGTTGCAAGAACAGGTGGTAGCTATTTCCAAAGCATACAAGATGTTTATGCAAAGGAACTTGATGGTGCGTATTCAGTAGACTGAGGATATTACACACCACAGAGAGTCTCAGATGCAATAAAATGGGCTGAGACTAAAATAAATGTTAAACAGACCCTGAATCAACAGGTTGAAACACTATGAGGGTGTACACATGAAAAACTGAGGTGGGTAAAGGAACAGGACACTGAAACAGCCAGTCTCTCTCTGAAGTATTTTTTATAATTAAAAATCTCTGTAACATATTTAGCAGACAACACTGTTATCTCCTATTCTTTATTATAAACCTGAAAACCAAGTCAGAGAAAAGACTTCTTGCTCTCATGAAATATTACGGCTCTAAAAATAAGAGTATGAACTTACACGCATAATTTGCAATCTCAGGTTTGGCATGAGAAATCTTGCTTAACAAGGATGATTTTCCCGCATTTGGAAACCTAGAAGGAAAGTCAGGATTTACACATTGAATAAACGCATGTGTGATTCCTGTGTATTTTATTACCAAATACACTATATTACCTTAGTCAAACTCAGTGCTATCAACTAATGTTTGCAGACTCATTTACTCAGACTTTTTTAAAAAAAAAAACCACAACAAAATCCAGATCATTATGGGGTTTTTTTAATCAAATCTGAATATTTTTTCTAAACCCAACAATGCTTCCCAAGGATGCAGGCAGAAGAGGTATGTAAATACACATGTAATAGATTTAAGGGAAATCTTTCAAAGTCACTCGGGTGGAAATACAGCATGAGCATTCAGGTCTACTTGAATTCAGTCTTCACATGCTATAGCTAATTTTGTAAATTACGTTTACATTCTAAACACCTGTCATGGAAATGCATCTTATCAGTTGGATTTACAGTCTTCTGGTATACAAATCACGGTTAATGAAACATTCTACAACTTAAGTACCAAGGATATCTATGCTACAGTTTGGCTAATGTAGCAAAGCATATGTAAACTCTGTCTGTCCATCTATACAGGGGCAGGGGGAAGAGTGAGAGAGAGACTTTGTGTATATAGACACACATATGCACAGTTTGTGCATGTTTTTAAGGCAACAAAGTTGCATGAGGGATCCTGAAATTAGGACTAACCTGCTTTGTTACCAAGTAAACCAAAAAAGAATACCAGTGAAGCCCTAGGAGCTGGTCTGTGCAGACCTGACTGTTGTAGTATACTACAACAAAAACGTTCCTTAACGGATACAGTAGCTTTTACAAAACCTTCTTCACAGAATACGTCTACCCATTGAAACGAAAACCTAAGTTAAAGCTGAAATTGTAACACATGCTTATTTTAAAGATTAATCTGAGCTGTAAAAGACACAATAGCCTTGATCCATGTCAAACTTGAAGCTAATGCTGACATCACAGGGTAGGCTACAGTCCTTATTCATAGCACCTGCTCCATATGGGAGATCACAGAAGACTTGTGTTCCAGTCAAATTCACAGACAGTTATTCAGCACAACATTTCAGTGCAACAGCGATCAAAGAAAACTGTGTCTACCGGCAACTGAACATTGGTGACAAGATACAAAGGCATGTGTCATACAGAAACCATTCTCCACTTGAATACGTGCAGAACCATGACCCGTTAACAGGACAACTAATAAGAACATGAGCTAATGAAAAACAAGACTAGTATTACATTAAGGGGCTTTATAAATGGGTTGTATACAGGGCTTTCTTAAAAATGAAAGAGGCATAATGACTCTTGTTATAATAGGGTAGTTTTAGTGTGCTCTGATGTTGAAAGGTGCTTTAAAGACATTCTGGAAGGTTACTCTGGTCATCTCCTCAAGTGAGTATTTTATTTCCACTGAGGTACAATATGCTCTTTGAAGTTTAAATTGCAGCCTATGCTACACATCACAACCTGTACCCAAACCTGATGGGCCTTTCTCAAGTCTATATGTTTTTTACCTGATCTGTTAGAACAGCAAAACACTTGCAAATCTACTGAAGTAAAAATAAAAAACACAAAGACATCAAAGTACAACTACAAACTATCAGAGGCTGATTCATACTCTCAACAAGAAAATAATATGCTCCTCTAATTAATTGATAATGATTTTTTTTATCCGTTTTAAAGGGAAACTGTCAGCTAAAATACAAGTTAAACCACAAGATTAAAGAAGCACCAGTGTCATAAAACTCCTATACTTTCACACACTCTAAAAACAAGAAAAAGGTTCTCTATCATGTAATTACTGAAGACCAGTTGAAAATTATATAACTTTAGATAAATCTGATATTAACAGAATTATTTCTAATAAGAAAAAAAAGAAAAATGCAGGTAGAAAACCATGTTGTCTTCAAGTTTCCATTCTTTAACAGCATATACCAATTAGACTATTTCCACCTCAAACCCCTCACCATTTGACGTTCCCTATGGTTTTTATTAATAAGGACCACGGGGCGGGGAGGAGGGGTAGTAGCTGCTGAGTGGGCCAATACTTTTACAGTTGTAGTTTGTTGAAAGCTTTCTCCAAATAAAAACATATTTACCTGCATTGTTATAAAGCAGCAACATTGAAATGCAAGTCCTACATTGCATTTAGAACTTGCATACTAGAACTGCAAGTTCTAGTTTGTAATTACTTCCTTCCAGCGTTCCAAGCTGTTTATTTAGGAGAGTAGGCTATGTAGCCTTTGAAACTCTTTAAAACTACTATTGAAAGGATCCACTTGATCCAGTACCATAAAGCTGAAGATGCAATATGGATAGTGTTCATGGGTCTGTTTTGCACCTCCTACTTAATTCATAAATATTGGCAATTAGCATTTTGATAATCACTGCAATTGCTACATTTAATTATATTGATAATTATATATTACCCTCATTCATGAAGCCCTTCACCCACAAAAGCATAACCAATACTTTCCAAATTTTAAAATTAATTTGAATAGGTTTAAATTCTATCTGTTTTTTGCAAACTGCAAGTAATTTAAGTGGCAACGCAAATGTACAGTATCACTCATCCTCCAAACTCTCAAATTTCTTTGAAATCCCATTTGAAATTTACTACTTTGTTTTCTAATATCAGTTCTCAAACTACAGTACTTACCCAACTAAGCCAACATCTGCTATAAGTTTCAAATCAAGACGAACAATTCGCTTCTGACCTTTGCAAGGCATGAAGTTTGTGGCCAAAGAGCCTCCGAGACCTCCGCGAGCTGCCAGGAATCTCTCTCCTGCTGCATTAAGCTCTCCTGAAAATATATTCACTAGTGAAAAAGCACAGTCCCCCGCAGTAGTTATGATTTTCCACTTAAATCTACCTTCAATGAAGAGACAATTTTCTGTATGCTTCCTTGCAAGAGCTGTGCACTCAGGGTCGTGGTACTTTTCCTTCTTTGGAAACAAATGAAAGCAATCACACCCCAGTATTCCCCTCTGTCATACAGTTAGTCACTTCAAGAAAAGTGCTAAGTACAGGCAGGCAAAGTATGGCCAAGATAGTAGTTCTGAAGGCTCCAATACTTGAATTCAAGAATGCAAGGAAAAATCCACATTGATAGAGATGTGGCTACAGCAAACTCTTCAGATATTCCATATTTTTTCATTAAGATGCAGGCTATAATATCTCCTTTAGGGTTAGAACTTTAGAATAATTAAAAAAAAAAGTGCAACATATGTAATGCAGTATATAATTCAAGGATACCTTTAGACACTGACATGCCTACATCATAAACAGTTCTTGCCATACATCCAATTTTGTTAAACATCTAAATCAGAGTAATTTGTGAATTTAGTTTGAACTCTGAATAATATGAGAAGAAAAACTCTGAGAAACTGCAAAGGAACCATTAAGAGCTATTCTAAAAGCACTATATTGAAAGAGATCTTCCGGGTTACTACCAAGGACAACTCTTTAAAAAAGAGTAAAAAACAGCTAAGTATTTTAGATAACCTGAAATGTTGATACTCAGCAAGGATCTTTATCTTTTAAGCAATGTCATAATTCAGTAGAGTTATAGGGACCCTTACCTGAGTTTATGGACACATAATTTATGTAAGGTCATTAATGATTCTGTGGAGGATCAGCATGGCTTCCAGCCTTTAACACTTGTTTGCAAGGGCAATTTTCTTTCTGCTGCACATAGTGATACAAACTAACTACTGCTAATTTCGGGAAGGGGTCCTTGTTTTTCCAACGATTTCTACAGCATACTTTTTGTCGACTCTTTGTCCAAACAAAGGAAAACACACACATATTTTGGGAGATGTGTAACCTTAGAACATCCCAGTGTTAGAAGTCTGCTAGATGCTATCCATAAATATGACAGTATCTACCAGATACATTAAAACAAAGCAAAAGTTCTTACCAATCTGCTTGCCATCATCACAAAGAACTGAAATTCCCAGAGGCACATGAACTTCACAGTCTTTTCCTTTTTCACCTTTTAGTGCTTCAACCCTGGGAGAAATTAAACCAGGCTTAGTAACTTAGGCTGACATTTTGCTTTCTGGAAAAGACGTATGTAACCACCCTCAACAAACAGACTCTTACCTGCTGTTGGCTCCCGCTCCAGCTACAAATCGCTTCTGGGGATATCTGTCCCTAATGCTCTTTAAGGTAGTTCTTTCTCTGGCGACGAACCAGACATCACCGCCTCTTCCTCCTTCCCCACCTAGGCGAGGATAACCCATTCCACCAGTTCCTCCTTTCACATAGAGCCGTAAATCGTCTACGAAGTTGCCATACTAACAAAACAAGAGTTTCGTATCAGTATGACGTTCTGTTTGTATTTCGTTTTGTAGAAAGGCGAGTAAAACTGCTTGGATAGAACTTTTCCCTGATGGCAATCATGAAAGTTCAGAAAACAGACATGTAACCCTCCAAAATGTATTTTTAATAAGTGTGGGACGTTTCTTCCCCGGCAGCGATGCCTGACGGCACGCCCGCCCGGCCTGCAGAGCCCCGGGCCGAGGGACGGGGCCAGGCCCCACC